ATGCGAACAACCCTCCCCCCCCCAAAAGCTGCACTTTAAACCCCCACAGACAATATCTGGGGAGGCTTTTGTAATTTTTCTTTCAGTGTCCCACATGTGCTCTGGGGTCCCTGGCTGGCAGGCAGCGGGGGCGGGGGGCGGAAAAAAGGTGGCTGTTGGCACGGCCGGAGGCCAGAAGGACCGGCAAGCTCGTTGGGAGCCTGGCCTGGGAGTTTCTTGCCCATCTTTTTTCAGGCCCTTCCCCAAAGGCATGGCGAAGGAAGGGTAAGGAGGCAGGTCGGATGCTTGTTGGCTTCAAATTCAATGGCTTTCACGTACGGTGGATTTCCACCGGCAAAGCTCCTGCCGCTCCTCTGAGAAGAATCCTTCTCTGCCTTATGTGTATACACATTTATATAGAGCTATCTGATAAACATTTTGTATGAAAATAAATTTCATCTGTGTGTTACGGACCATTGTCACTCTCATCTAGCCACCTGCTATGGCGTTACATCTCTTTTTGTGTCCGGGACAGCCTCGTTGCCATTCCTTTTTCCCCTAAGCTGCGGACCCCTCCTCCTGCCTCCCGGGCACAGAAAGCACCGCAGCAGGCACAGACGTACCTTTTGGCAGCCCCTCTCTCAGGCGCTGCCTCCCGCCGTTTGGCTTATTACAGGGACCTTTATGACGAAAATGCTTCCCTTTACAGCGCCTGCTTCTGGAGAGAAGAAATGATCTTCATCTTGACAACACTTTACAAAGTGTAAGGTTTTAACATCCTCTTCCAGGGCTCTCAATTAAGAAATATGTTTGTAGATAGCACTGTTTATATAGATATAGGTATAGTTTTTATTTATTTTTATTACCAACCCAACATTTCAATTTGCAGCCATTGATGTAATTCATGACATACTCTCGTGGCGGTTTGTTTTTTGTTTTTCCTTAAAAAGAAATGCACTTCAAATGAAAAGGATGCCTTTTTGTCTGTCTGGTGTTCCTAAAAGGTACTTAAGATGACACAGGACTCCTGACGTGGGTGGCAGTTTTTAAGCCCGTACTTTTCAATGGCCCAAAGACCACCAGCGAGATGCGGGCGCTGTGAAAACTGGGGTAGCAAACGAGTGAGAGGGCAGCCACGCCACGGCGCGGGGTGGGACCGTGCTGGGAACAAACGGGCACGCTAGCCGGGGTTTCCTGAATTCATTTCCACCTCTGAGCGGGAGGACCAGGCAGCAAACCCACCACCCCCATCCCAAGGAGCCGGTACTGCTTTCCCTGGCCCCCTCGCTCCCCCCAGGGCAGGCTGTTCCTGGGTAGCCATTTATTTCTTTATCAATTGTAAATTAACATAATTTTTCTCTCCCTGCAGTACCACAAGCTCGAAGTTAATTATACAAAGAGAAATGCCATAGTCAAAACATACATGATACGTATTATATTAGAGGGTTGGGGGTTGGTTGGTTTGGGTTTGTTTTTTTTTTCCCCTCCTTTTTTTCTTAGCCCAGGCAGGTGATTGAGCTGCTACATGCTCCAGCCTTTGTCACTGAATGTGTGTGTGTCTGTATTAAAAATATATCATCAGTCTTGTGATGTTCTTAAAAAAGAAAGAAATGGAAGGTGGCGAGGGAGGAAACTGGTAACAGTGAAAAAAGTTCTTTGACTGTGTGACAGTCTTTTGTGGCTTCAAAAAAATACACATGTTCAACTCCAGCACTGACGGCAGCTTGAAGCTTTAGAGTAGATTTTTAACGTTTTTCTGTTCTAGTAGTAAAAAAGAAAAAAAAACAAACCACAAAAACAAAAAAACAAGCAGCGTGCCCCCCCCAAATCAAAAAGCATCAAGCTACCAAAAGAAGGAAAAAAAAAAAAATCAAATTCCTGATCAGATTTCTGCAATACCCAACCAGTAAAAATACAAAAACATCTCCTTACACTGGAGGGGTGCTCGGGAGGAAAGGAGACAAACCTCTACGGGAGAGGTGGCCTTTGGAGATGGCTGATACTTCTTAATCTCATTGAATGGGGTCAGTGGTTGGGTTTGTTGTGTTTTGTTTTATTTCAACACTTGCCATTGTTGCTTTTCTTTTGTATCATTTTCGGTGGGGTTTGTTTGGGGTTTTTTTTTTTTCCCTCTGTGATGGTTTTGCCCTTCTTGGCACCCAGCCGTCTGACTGTCTGGGCAGCAGTGGCCCCCAATGGACAGCTGTCCCCTCCGGTGAAACCGCGCTTCCAGGACTGGTGTCCGGTGAGGTAATGGAGGAGGGGGTCCCTCCCCCCGGCAGCACCGACCCTCCACCGCCTAAAACCCCTTGATGTAGCAATAGGCCTCCAGGGTGGCAAAGAGGATGTACAGCAGCCAGAGGCTGACGAAGAGCAACGTCGTGGCCAGTTTGCACCCTCGGGGACCGCCCAGCTCTCCACCGATGTGGGGCCGCCGGCGGTAGAGGAGGACGCTGATGCAGATGAAGGCGAAGATGGTGAAGAGGGTGACGGAGAAGGCCAGGGCCCCTTGATGTAGCAATAGGCCTCCAGGGTGGCAAAGAGGATGTACAGCAGCCAGAGGCTGACGAAGAGCAACGTCGTGGCCAGTTTGCACCCTCGGGGACCGCCCAGCTCTCCACCGATGTGGGGCCGCCGGCGGTAGAGGAGGACGCTGATGCAGATGAAGGCGAAGATGGTGAAGAGGGTGACGGAGAAGGCCAGGGTGCCTGCCGACACCTGGAACTCCTGCCCCTGTGATGCCCAGTAGATCGCCGCCACTGACCACGCCAGCCCGATGCCCAAGAAGACGTTGACGGCGTTGCTGCCCGTGACGTTGCTGGATGGAGGCATCGTCGTACACGTCCTGGATGGCCGCGGCTTTGCTGGCAAACGTGTCTGGGGTTGGGGGAGGAGGGAAGGAAAAATGACTGGAGGGTCCAACAGGAGAAATGGGCAACCCTTCGTGTCTGAGGGACAGTGTGGCACTGGCCAGGCTGGGACACAGATCTCTCCTGGTGCACACACACCCCTCCAAGGTCCAGGGACCCCGTGTTGCCACCAAATGGGGTGCAAACCTTTCCTGGGGACAGGACACTGTGCAGCCCCTTCCCAGCCTGAACCCCATCCCCATGATGGAGCTGCTCCCCTGGGGCAGGAGACCCGCCAGAGGACCTCCCTCCCACTGTCCCCCCACCCCCGTGGCCACCCCACCTGGTACGGAAGTGCCAAAGGCGACAAAGACGACGGCGGTCACCGAGTCCTTGAGGCCGATGGTGCAGCCAAAGTGGGAGGCAAGGTCGCCAATGACGGCTGTGAGCATGCCGATGATGAGGATGGAGACGACGAAGCAGGCCCAGCCGTTGCAGTACTCGGTGGGGGGCACGCAGGCGAACAGCACCTTCCAGAAGACAGTCAGGAAGTGCATCACGTAGTCGAAGCAGGACGGCAGGCGCTCCTCGCCGGACTCATCCTCATCCTCATCACCCGCTGCAAATAACGTGGAAGGAGAGGTCCAGCACTTGTGGTGGGGCAGGTCAAGATTATGGGGCTGGGCTGCAGCCTGTGCTTGGCCCCCCCCCCCCAGGGCTCCAGGGCAGCCGCTATAC